GAAAAGGCCGGGAAAAGGTGGAAAAAGAGGTCGTCGTGTGCAATTCAGCCAAGTGTCGGAAAAGCGTGGGAATTCGACTCTCTTTTGGTATAATACTCTCTACAATAGGGCCAGTTTCAACCTCCCGACGGTCTGCATCTTCCAATATTTTTAATTCGAGGGGTGAAAAGGTAAATACACTTACCATCGTCATAATCCTCATCCGGTTTCCCGATGTCGCTATCGGATGACACTTCCGCGGTAGCTTCTGTAAGTCAAAGACAATTTGCGTGCTCATGCCAAATGCAACATCTAACAACACTGTAGCTTTACAATTTCTGAACCTGTCCAGAAAATGTGGATAAAAGAAATACTAACCTCCGTTCTTGGCGGCGTACGCCAACGATTCCACTTGCTCATCGTCGCTCGTCGAGTCTAACAAACAAAATTATCATGCAACATCGATGGTACACGTACTATGCACAGTACGAAGCTATTTCAAACTCAGTTAACTGCTTCTACTTTGATCGTATAGAGCGTAATGCAAACTATTTAACGAAATTTTCTTAAGTACAAACGACCATGCAGTACAATCAACATCGAGCGTAGAATATAGAAGTATTCAAAAAGGGACATTTATTTAATTAAAAAAATGGTTTGCTACTTACCATTCGCTCGCTGACGAGCCTCCTCCAAAACGCTCTGCTTCGTTTGTTTCACGACCAACGTTTCGAAGCGAGCATCGTCCACGAGGGATCTCCGTCTCGCCGGATATCCGTTCTGCACACAAGAAAGAACGACCGAAAATTAAACCAGAGCTACCTCAGAAAAGAATCTTCAGAGCACACGTGTCTGTTGCAGGTTAACGCTACTTTCAACGATCGAGTAAGTTCAAAGGACGGATATCCTGTCCCATTGTACACTCGAATCCCGAAGAGTTCAAGTTTACCTAACTCTCAAAGGCTGGACAGCGGTAACTATCCGATAACGATTCGAACACACGGAAATGAATTTTCGTCCCGGCTGTCCGACTGTTGCTGAAGGATCGGAAATTAGCGGATCCTGACACGGTGACCACAAAGACGTGTCGCTATCACGAAGAAGGTCACGCGAGGATAAACTCTCGCGATGCAATTCTTGTATTGCGACGGAGGAAAAGAAGAAGAAGAAAGAAAGGACCTTTAAGAGGTGAATTTCATAGAACACCGATAGCCAGTGGATAAACTTTCCCGATTGACAATAGAGAAAAAGAAGAAGAAGGAAAGAGATAATTAATTCTTTGTTGTTCCAAGTGGACGTAAGATAAGCGTCTACTGTCATTGAAATTCATGAATGGCGCACAAGGTGCAACCCAGATCCGTTTCTTTCTGTTTTTAATCATGCGTTCGGTGTGCACTTGGCACGGTTCAAAGAGAAGGTGTAGTAATCCCTTAACAACGCATCGCGCGAAGTGGGCCAAGTATATTTCATCGATGACTCCTCTTTCATCGGGGCGATTACGTCACGTGGCGATTAACCGATTTAAAAATTGTCCCATTGAACCGCAATGAGGAAAAAAACGCGCGACTTTGACCTGAACGGATTCGATCCTTTGGCACGCGGCGATAACCGCGTTTCAGGTGGTTAATTACTCTGACTCATATACACTTATGCAACGGCGTTCGACCTATTTACGCGATATTTCGTTGTTCGAGCATGAGGAAAGATTCGTTTGATTGATTGTTCGCTTCGAGGATGCTGTTGAAAATAGCGATTTTCCACGAATACAAATTTTTATTCGCCTATCATCCGGAGAGCCGTTGTTAACGCGCGGAACGTTTCTTTCCACGAGAAAATCGGCATTTCAAGCGAGACGAACGTGAGTTTCGCGGTTGATTGAGATATATTTTTGCCAATGAATCGGCGTAATGATCTGTGACAAATGCACCTAAGGTCGATCATTATTTCGCCATTAAAATCATAGCTACATGAGGTTATTAGTTACTTACGTGTACATGTATATATGTATAGCTTCTCTTTTATACGATAGAAATGCCGGCTACCGGTTTATACACGACGATACAAATGCAAATTATGTTAATGTAACGAAACCAGAGTAATTGGAAGGAAATATTTTGAGCATCGGTGAAACGAACGTGAAATCTCTCGAGTAAAGAAAGACAAAAGAGAAGGAGAAGAGATACCGTGATCATTGAAGAGCAAACGGAGGCGAAAACTCATGCAAATGTGTCGGAATGCAGATAAGTGGCGGAGATAAGAAATGGGTGAAAAAAACGTGTGAAAAAGTGGTTGCAGGACGACAACAGCCGTGGATTGTTACGCGATCACTATGCATAATGCATCTGGTGCATTAATACTGTTTTTTCTCAGCTCGTAGTAGAAATGGACGCGGCACGGCGGTTCGGGCAAAACAGGACATTTAAATAGAACGATTAGCATAGTGGATCGACGAGGAGAGACTGATATGTGTATATGCACAATTATGGAAGCTGTGGTGTATGCATATACGCGCGCGTGTGTGTGTATGTGTACGTAACGCGTCGCGTATCACGTTTGATCGGTCGAGTCGCCGATAAGTGGTTAGAGGCGTTGTCGCGCGTGTGGCGAGCCTCCAAAGACGAATAACGGGGTTCAGAACACAGCGTTCAGGGTCTCTCCGCGCCTCTCTACCAACCATTGGACTTACAATTACTTCGTTCTCATATTTATAAGATATTCATAATTATCATACGGGAGCCGAGGTCGATCGATTTTGCAACATACACGATACAATTACACACGATCGGTCGGCCAACTTGGTTGCCTCTTGACGAGGGTGTTCTGTGCTAATTACGAGATTTTCCAATGAATCTAGAAAACGATCGAGCTATTAGCTCGTGCACACACGTACACAGACAGCGTGATTGAACGATTTAATCATGCTCGTCGGAGCGATTGTTAATTTTATGCTTTACGATTGACTTGTAATGTCCATTGCTCATAAATATTCACCTACACGCCCTTCTTTTTTATTCAGAAATGTGACAAATTTTTGTCGAGCGAGATTAATTCGTTGGTCGAAAATTGAGATAAAGGGCATTGGAAATGAATGGATAAGCAAATTTTTTTGTACGATTTTTTCTGTTTTATATTGTAAGTTACGTGTGAAAATGATAGATCGTGGAGTTAAGGCTTGAAGAGACTTCGCAACGCGCTGATGAGATATCCGCATAAACGTTCGTTGAGAATATGCAACCAAGGTCGGGTCATTTTTCACCCTTCGTTACAATAGCGCGAACAAGCTCGATAAAGATCGAACGAGCACGCGAATAGCGGATTCTGGATCCGATCTGATATCTAGATCCGGCGCGCGCGCGAGTTCCGTTCGAGTGAGTCAGAGCTATCGTCGCCATTGTCGTTGACAGTGCATACGTAATTGCGCTTATTGTGTACAGCCAAACGGAATTCACCTGTCGAATCACCGCAACACCACCTTTTTCACCTTTTTCGTTCGTGGAGGAAAAAAGTGACAAAATCGAAAGATCGACGAAACAGACGACGTCGCAGCAGATACAGTCGCGATTAACGAGCTACTTTTTACGTAAAAACGACATTTTTTTCGGCGATAGTACGTGATACAATGATACCGAAAAATTTCGTCAGCTAGCCCGGGCCTCTGAGTTCGTCCAAATTACGTTAGCCCAGAAGCATCCGAATGCCCATAGATACGCGGAGAAAGTAACGGGGACCAATGGCCAAGAAGTCTTTTCCTTGAGAAATTTCACGTCGTCGAGCAAAGTTGAGGTTTTTTTTTTTTAGTTTCTCACAGCTCGCACCTTTCTATTTGCGTCCAGATAAGAAATTCAGACCAATAACGTTTATCGACCTGTACAATTTTTTCTGTTTGTTTTTTATTCTTCAATATTCCAGCTGATAGAGAAAAACGATGCTGGATGTGAAAAAGGAGCGAGATTTCAACGCGAGACTTGGCGTGCGATTAATAAATCTGAATCGACGTGTAACGTCAGTGTGATGGAGTGCGGTATGAATGGAAAAAGTCCACGGCAGACCTTGCCTAGATGCCAATTAAGCCGCGTTACCGTGCGATTTTTAAAAAAACCGCGGGCTGACGCGCTAGAAAACGCACACAGGGACGCGTCCTTGCGATTTCAATTCTCCTCGGAGGATCTGTTCCGCGGCGAAGACTGCCTCTCGTGACTTTTATGAATGGAAAAAAGAATCGCGACCTCGAGTGGTGGCTTCGCTTCGATTCAAAGATGTATTGCTCGCTTTGTTCCCGCGTTAGGAGATACACGATCGACCTTACTAGCACGCAATTTCCTGACGTTTCTGAAGGAAATTACGCGCTCGACGGAGAAATCTCGTAATAACCCCGCGCGTGTACGACTCTGTGTAATTTATCGCTCGCTTAAAAGACTTCGACGCACGATAATCGACGTCTTACGGACTATCGCGAAGTGTACGGGACGAAAAAAAAAAAGAAACGTGTAAAACTTTTCACGGAAAACGAGCACTTCGTGGGAAAAAAAAGTATAGTGGTTCTACCGGCGTCGAGTGGAAAAGTGAAAGATTGAAGCTCGCTGCTTCGACGCACGATAATCGACGTCTTACGGACTATCGCGAAGTGTACGGGACGAAAAAAAAAAAAGAAACGTGTAAAACTTTTCACGGAAAACGAGCACTTCGTGGGAAAAAAAGTATAGTGGTTCTACCGGCGTCGAGTGGAAAAGTGAAAGATTGAAGCTCGCTGGCTCGAGGCTTGTACGTTTCCCATTTTGTATCGTTTTCACCTGTTTCGTATCCTTCGAACGTTTTCCCTTTTCATTTTTACCCGAGAATTTCCGTGATCGCGATGGTAAACGGAGATAAGAAGATATCTTTGTCTCGCATCGAAATTTTTCATGCATTTTGGTAAAGATGACGAATGCAGAACGGAATGAATCGAATACAATGACTTAATGGGGCAAGGTCGTTAATATTGCATAATCATCGTAATAATTGCTTTTACTTTCTCTATACTCTGGGTGTCTTCTTTAATTTCCAACCTGAGAATTTCACTCGCATCGAGACTGGTCGAAGGAGGAGTAATATGCTTGTAGATAGGTGTTTGTGAGTGTGTGTGTGTGTGTATGCACACTTTGAAACGAATAAACGGTGTCATTTTTTTCACCGGTTACGCAATGTACCGGACGTTCATCACGAAAGTCACGTAGGCAAGCAGAAAAGAGGATTCTTCCGTGTAAGAAAGTTCCGGAGATCTCGGACGAATATTGTGGAAACCTACTCCTCCCGAGACGCCGGCTGCAAACAAGCTTTATACCTCGACCACGTGTTGCTACACGCCTAACTAGTTGCAATATCGCTGAACTGAATAAATTTTCGATAGAAAAAGTCTAAAAGCACTACGGATCGTCGTTAATAATATCGAGAAAAAAAAAGTAGAAAAATTAAAAAAAGAAAAAGAAAGTAAAAGTTGAAAATGTATAACGATTGAAAAGGAAAAAAGATTCCTGTTCGTAACGATAGCAAAAAGTCAGCGTTCAAAAGCTGTCGTGTACCTCATCGATAACTATTAAACGGGGAAAGTGGCGTAATTGAACACTGATAGCAGTGCTCGCAATTACAGTCGCGGCAATTCAAACGTGCGGCAAACTTCCCGCGCTTTCTCGCGTTTCCATTCAGTCTCGGTTTCAAACACTTCACCTCGCCTTCACCTACGATAATCATCTACGAAGCTACATTCCCGATGTATACCGAGTGAATCCTAAATACGATCGAAACTCGTTCGAAGAACCAGCCAAAAAAAAAAAAAAAAAAAAAAAGTCTACCTATCCCAATCGAAAGTACTCACCTCGATGCTGTAAGACTTCTTGATAGCGAACATTTCGCGGTTCTTTTGCGCCGCTGCGACAGCCATCATATCCGCCGTGTTGATCTTCTTCGCGAAAACTCTTCAAGCTCCGAAAAATCAGTCGTCTCTCGGTTGCTTCGTCCCTCGGGAAGGAAACCGGGAATACTTGGTAAAAAGTTGCGAGGAAAAATTCGCCTGAGCTATTCACTGCCGGGCTGGTCGAGCGAGAACTGGGTCGATGCGAAACACCGGTATAACGATGCTTCCTCGAACAGATCGAATGATTTCTATATGCGGCAAAATCACACTGCAACTTGTTCGACTTCGGCTGGTTCGTTCTCCTCCCTTTTTGTGCTTTTCTTTCCGGTCTCGATCCGTTCGGTGTGATACGGCTCGGCGGCAACGACAACAACAACGGCGGCGACGTCAACGATAACAGACAAGACGTGTGTCTCTCTCTCGTGATAGTCCGCTTTGGATGAAGCGTACGAGCGAATGCGCCTACGGAGCGGATTGCCGCCGCATATAAACGTTGCCTCCCTTCACCGCCGGCTAATGTCGGGGTCAGGGGTGCCCCCACCCCACCCTCGTTTCGGGTGGTCCATGCCACCACCACCACCGCCGCCGCCACCGCCACCACCACCGCGTCATCGCCGCTCCGCCACTTCCACCGATCGCGCAGACTAGCTTTTCGAACACCACGAGGTGACTCGACGATTCCTTCGGAGAACTCGCCTATCAAGATTGACCCTTGGTACGTCGGTGCGTGAATCTTAGGGCGTGATCACTTGCCATTCTTCCACATGTGCCGCGCGTCACCGTTCCTCTCGCTTTCGTATCGATCAGTCTCTCCACGAATCTACGAGCTCTCTTCGTTCAACAAGTTCCAATTTTCCGTGATTTCGTAGAATTTCCGACACGTTCAATTTAGCGGTGATTCTTCAGACAGTGGATTTTAGATACGGTATCGGAAACATCAAGGTCCATTGTTTTTTGTGAATTATGGTAACGGTGTATTGGCCGTTTCACGTCTCTCCTCTTTTATTCTCCTTTCGAGGATCGTGTGCGTGAAGAATGAAGATACGAAGAATGAGGAAAGTTAGTTCCGATTCGATTCGATTCTATAAATAGCACGTCAAGCATTAATGGTCGAACGTCATTTCTTCTCGACAGAAGGAAATTTTCCTTCGCGCTGGTTGCGTTTCCGTGTGGCCGCTCGCCGTGACCGACGTCATCGGCACGTCACGAATCGCTGGAGGCGCAGGCATTTGGGAACTCCCAGTTCGAGATTGTGAATTCCGTTGATCCCTCTTTATTAGGTTCGTTCCACTCTTCGCGTGAATTCCTCATGTGACCGATCTCTCGGTCCGGAAAGACCGGAAAGAAAAAAGGCGAATACGGAGCAGTTGCTCTTGGAACGATACGCACACGCTTGTTAATCGCGGTACGCGTGGATCGATTAAATTGGATCGATTAAATTGCGTTGTCACGCACCTGTTACGCGTCGATTCTGCGAATGTTTCGATTCTAGGTGAAACCATGGGAAGAACCCAGATCGGAAAGCTTGCATTCATTATCCTTTTTTTTTTTTTCACGCTTAACCGCAAATTAGGTACTGTAACGTGGTCTTTATAAAGAAACGTGACTTGTACTTGGAAATCCATGTAACTCGGACGACTTGTTTTTTAAACCTGACGTTTGCCCAAGAGGAAAGTAAGCGTTTTCGATAGGGCGTGTAAACGTGCGTAGAAGAGTTGCATTGACGTGTTTAACTAGAGAAAGGTTCCTAGTTTAATCGAGTGAGGAGACTTCTTCAATTATACAGCTAGCTTTGTATTATAAATTCTGCGATTCTACGAAGTATCTTCAATTCTCCATTGAAAGTTTCACGGATCATCGTCGCTAAGGTGTGAATGAATTTTCGGGCGTTACCGTAAGAACGCCGCGAAGCCGGAAGCTTTCGAACGACCTTCCTCTTATCTACGCTCAGGATCGAACATTACAAATACATGATTAAGTCTATGAAATTGCATAGATCTGAACGATACGGCGCGTGTACGTGTGTACCGATCATACGCGCCTTGATTCCACCGCCGCTGTTCTAAATGAGACGAGATCTAACTTTCATGAATCAAGGCCGCTCTAAGAGCACGGAAACGGAGTGGCACTTGCTCTGCGTCAGGAACAGGCAGTACGTACGCGTGTTAATCCGGCGGATTCGCGAATTAGCCAGACCCACGAAAAACCGGTCCAAGCCGTTCGATTAAACTACGCACATTCGCGAGCAATTTTCCTCGTTTTTCGCGGCCGAAAGCGAAGGAAAAGTTCGCCTCGTAGGTGAGATCCTTAACATTCCAGGCGAACGAAGAGATTCGTGGTACGTGGACGAGCGTAACGTGCGTTCGATCGAAAATTGAGAGAGGCTCGGACACAAAGAATAGGGGGGAAAAAATCAACGACACGAATGCGTCACGAGGCGTAAGAAGCTTGCTCGATTCCAGCCGAGCAAATGTTAATTGCTCCGAGTGTTTTCACTTAGCGCAAGCACCGTATCTTTACGAAATACACGCGTCTAATTTATTCGAGATATTTCAATATTAGGAATCCAGGATACATATTAGAAAATTTCTTCAGCTGGAGGAAAAATTGTATACGCCACCGCGTATACACCAATGTGACACGCGCATTTTTATCTGACGTCTCGACTCAAGAATGGTGCCACCTGCTGCTAACATGTTCGTTATTAATATTGAGATAAAATGGATACTATACGTTCGTTACAACGTACGAGCAGTATTACACGTGTTACCATAACTTTAGAATTAACCACTGAAGTATAACGCTTAATGGAGCAGCCTGGACGTTCTGTTATTTATTAAGATTGCCTGTAATTTATCCGTTGTCAAATGAAAATTGCAGATCTCGATTGTCCGTACAATTTAATCGAGCTTAAGGTACGCGCAATTTGCGAACTCGTTCGCCGTTTCGGAAAAAGGAAAAGAATCGAACGCGCGGTTAAACGATGCTTGAAAAACGCCATTATTCAATACCACCGGAGAGACAGAGAGAGAGAGATCTCTTTGTTATTCCGTTTCCACAAGGGAGTAGAAATTTACATGTGCCTCTTAGATCGGCTAACTAGCCAACATCTATGGAAACGTACCGGTGTAATAACTCTGTTTATGGTTCTTGTTAACATTTCCTCCTAACGTATTTTCCAGCTACCTAGGTACAATTTCCCATTAGTCTCGGTCATTTGGACACACGAGTAAATAAATAACGCATCGATAAATTCGTCGTTTACGAAAACGTTTCATCCGAGGTACATTAATCTGTACCACGTTTCACATAGTTAAGCGTGGTCAGGACGTTCGAACGATCCTATTTTCCGTCTACCAAGATAGCAAAAATGGGGCCGGGTTTTCTCTCGTTTTTCCAACTTTTACTACGTGGACCACGCTGTGACGTATTTGCACCGTCGATACGAGATCTTTTACGGGGGAATTTTCCTGGTAGGCAGGCGGTGTCGACAGTGCATAAAATTGACAACCGGTTAATAGAAGATCCTTAGAGGCAAACCGTGCGCAATTTTCAAAGTAGGGATAGCTGCGCGTTTCGCGGGAACGCGATTCTTCCCCGCGTCAGTCTCGCCGCACTTCTTTTTTTTTCACCACGTGATTCATTAAACACTCGGAATTACCGGGTAGATCGATGTGTCTACGACACAGCACGAGTTACTAACTGCTTCCAAGGAAAGTTGCAAAAGTTTCCTATGCGCTTTTTCCTTTTTCCTCCCTTTTTTGTCTTTACTCCTTCCACGGAGACCTTGATCGACGCGCGTGTTCTGGGTGCAGAAAAACGACGATTGTTCCCGTTCGATGTTTTGTTTGCATGTTTTCGAAAATGTATAAAGATGCCTGAGATCGGCCGTTGCGATATGGCACTCGCGGTATGTCGTGTAACGTTAATTGCCCGGAGAGATCGCGGAAATACGCTTAAGGTCGACTTACCAGCGAACAGGTAGAAAACGGGAGCGAAATCGAACGCGTTGCACGAATCCTCGACGTTCTGGGACGAAAGGGTTAACGACACGCGATCGGCGATTTCGGACGTCGCGATTTGTTCGTGTTTGAATTGTGTAAGGTGGCAAGTGGCGTGGGTTCCTTCTCGACTTTCTATCTTCGTCGGGAGTCGATCAATTACAGCGCGAGAGATGACGGGGAATTTTATCGTGAACGTATTTTTACTCGTACAAGGAAATACGAAGATTTTCATTATGGCACCTTTACGTTTGAAAGAATTTTCTTGCTAATATAGAAGAATTATGCGTCTAAATACCTTAACGATATAATAATAGTGAATTAAACTGCAGCAAAGATAATTGTTGGATTTTCTAGCTAAAGGATTAAAATTCAAAAATTCGAAAAAAAGGTCACTCACTTTTCTACTGTCGAAATTTAGCTAAATCGGTTTTTATTAATTTATTGATCTCTTATAAAATTAGCTGAATCATTTTTTATCTTCCAAATAAGAAAAGCTGAGAAGTTTGTGAGATTGGATATAAGATAGGGCTTTGAATGTTTGCAATTTATTCACTTATCGCTAACTTGCCAGCTTCTGCGCTCACGTTACCCAGCCGCTTATTGCAGCGGATACGTCGGCAGTCCTCGTACACCTTATGCTCGCGATAGGAGATCATAGCCAGACAGCAGCACAAGCTTCCATGCAAACAATAACTTATACAATAGCAGGGTAATTAGTGTGCTAATGCAAATCAATCGTCTAGGAACGAGCCTTGAACGAGTGACGGAACTGTTAACGTGGAGGCTCGATTATGGTAATTACACCTGTAATAAACTCGTCTATTCGGCATCCTACTTTTAATATCCGTGCTTGGTTACGTGATTAGTCACAGTCCCGTTTGTCAAGCCTGTCGGTGCAGCAGGATTGATCAAAACAACGTTAAAAGAATAAAATCTGATCGATTCAGCTGTGCGAAGTATGAAAATTCGTGGTAAGAAAGGAAATTACAAGTTTTAGAAAATTTTGAAATTGAGGCTCTAGAATTATGTACTTAGAGAAACTTGAAGATTGTCTACGCTGCTAATATTCTAATCCGCTGTTACAGTTAGCTTACCTAAATAAAATGTTTCTATTTCCTTGATGAATTTCTACGTTTGAAACGTGTCAATGGTTTCGATGATTTTTTCTCAGTTTCTTTAAAAAAATTCATTCCTTTTCACTCGTCCGTTACTACCTGTTCACTTCCTGACGTAATTCTTCAAACCTGCCTCCGAATGACTACTACTACTACTACTATAAAATTCTTATTACAATTCCTTGTTACAATCAGTCACACCACGAGGACAATTACAGAGTTATTCTCGGTCGTTCGAGAAACAGTCGAACGAGTTCAAATACGACCTGTACGAACAACACTTTCGCCGGTAGAATAATTACGGCACTTTCTTCACTCGATTCCCGGAGAAATGGAAAAGTCGAGTTTCC